TTAGCACCGAGTCGAATTCCATGTACATGCAAAGGCCCTTCATGGAAACACCATTTTATGATTTTTTTATTCTTGTTTTTTGTTTAGTTGTTAAGATTTCTGTTAAGATTCACTGACTACAGAGTAGCCATTTTCTACATTTTCTGTCTTGGTTTTCTATCATGGTTTTCTATGGAGACTTTTCTCATCTGTCCCTTTCTATATCCTAACTACTTGACTGATTTTGGTTCTCTTTTGAAGATAATGAGAACTCAAACATTACAAAAACTGTAATGCATGTATGTTTTACACAGAACTACAGGAAGCTATATATAATCTGTAAATGGGTTGTTTAAACATTTGGCGAATCATGTTTTCGTTCATATTATTAATTCTCAAAATTGTTAACTTGATGAAATAGCCTCATGTATATAAGGAAGTTTTCACTTTCTCAATCAATATACCAAAAGCAGTATTCCCAGCTTGACAGGGCACGGGTAGGTGTTTTCTTTTTGAAATTACTGCAGCTGCAAGTATTGTACTACAACTGACCTCTGAAAGACTGCAGGGGTCCCAAAGGGAGTGGGATATATTTTTTAACTTCTTAAATTTAAGTTTCTAACAAACATTCTCCCTCCACCTGATTTTGGAGATAGTGACTCAGACAGATGGTTACTATAGAAAATAACATACCAAAATGAAAGGTAAAAATAAGGTGCATAATATCAGTCCAGTAATGCACCTCTCTGCTACTCTTCAATTTCTGGAAATAATCTTTTCCATACAAGCCAGCCACAGATGCAGCAGTAGGATATTCCCCCTATTTAATGCAAAATGTGCATCGTCACCTATGCCTTCAGAGTACCCACAGTTACTAGTTACTTCAGAACTTTTTTTTTTTTTAAATCATGGTTTAAACCTATCTTTACTACTGAAAAAATGCAATGTTAAAAATAAGTAAAAATCTTCATTAAAGATTTATTTTATAGAAGATTTTAGTACCTATTTGCTATTTTTATGTTAACAAAGCATAAGTTAAAAGATCACTTTAGATTACACTTTAGATTACACCTAGAAAAGTCATGAAGTGCTTCAGAATGTATCATTACTTTAAAATGTTTTAAGAGAGAACTCTTCCTCACTTGTGAATCTATGCTATAAACTTTGCAGTTAACAATGCTGTTTAACAATATACAAGACAGTGCAAATGAAACTAGATAGATGACATCATTTTATAGATATTTAAGGATTATACCATCCCGGGAGGCAAACCTCCCTCCTTCACAATAATATAAATTTACATTTCATAAAATGTTCGAACTGCTTTGAAAATGCGTATCAAAGGTGACAGATTTTGCATTCCTAAGAAGGTGAGGTCTTCCATTTTAAAATGTCAGTATTGGGTCAATTAATTTATATATTGTTGTTAGTTTTCATTTCCATATTAATCTTTTATGATTTGATGTTCCAAGTTTAAACTGTCGGTTACCTTTGCGTGTCTAGTGCCACCCAGCACTGTTATGAGAAGCACCAGGGCTACCATTTTAGTGAGTTCTTCTGTTTCACAGTCTAATAATTTGGCCAACATGACAACTGCTTCGGTAAAAGAATGGACTGTTTATTGAAACAATTAACTCTAACTTTTTTGCTTGATTAAGGGTTCTTGAGTCCAACAAACCCAAGTCAGATCACTACAGGAAGAATTTCTTGTAAGGAGAGAATCAAATGAAGCACCAAGGAAATGATTCAGAGCACCTACTGTAAGTACCTCAATTAGATATTGTAAACATCTCCATGTTTCCTGGTCTTTCTATGAGACTTCCTTGGTCACACCAACTTCCATTCATCTATCTTAGCAATAAAGTCCAAATCCAAGGACTGTCCTTAACAATAGATAGCAATGCTTCTGCAGGTGCATTAAGAAAGTAAACTCTAGTCTCAGCATTAAACACAGAAGTATTATCCACCCAGGAAGTGGTCTGCAGAAGCAAGTGCCATTTTCAATTCCTTTTGTAATTCATTCACAAGTTTTCTAAATTTTCAGTCTGTGTTAACTGTATTAAGCACTGTAGCTGTGGCATCATGATAGAGTACATTCTTCCAAAACTTGTGATAACTTGGGTAAATATAGTAATAATGAAAGCAATTGAATTCAGAATGAAATATGCAGTGTTTTTTTTTTAATTCAGGTAAATTAATCGCAGTATAAGCATGATGGAACCAGAGTTTTTGCAGATTTGCAAAACTGTAAGGTTAGCTTTTAAAAGCCATGTAGTTAGTTCTTTTCTCAGCTTTTTGAGTTTGCTTCTAGGTTTGTCTCATCATACGGAATGGGATTCATTCTGCAGCCTATTCTCCTCCTCCCACCTAGGAGAGACTTGAGGGTTGCACAGAGGAAGTCAAAAAAGGTATTTTTCATCATTTAATTATGAGACCTTTAGCTGCCTGAGTAATGTTGATGGAGTCCAGAAAAATGTGTCTTGTCTGCCTTAGGCAGCATAAAACGGGAACATGCTTGACCTCAGAGGGGAAAAGGCACATGGAGAGATTGGAACAAGGAACTTGCACTTGACAAATGACCCAAGCATGACAAAATTTACTGACAAAATATTAACACTTCATCTTCTGAAAAGCTTGACATTATCAGAAAAGAAGGTTTCACTGTACCTTTTGAAAAAAAAAAAGAAAAAAACCAACAGATACCCATTGTCAAAGCCTAATTCCCTTCTGAGCTAATCAGGCTCCAGTTATTTGAATCACTGTTGTTCTTTCCAGAAGTTGTATACTCATGCAACAGGGGTATGTCATTAAGTGTCTCTCCGCTGGAAGAAATAAATCACAGTTCTCTATTGCGCCAGTTTCCACCCCTGAATTTCCACCGTTTTCCTGATGTTATTCCCCTTTTATAATCATGGCAGTGACAAAGGGTAAGGCCCATATATCTAACGTCCCCCAAACCCTTAGAAAGTCAGAACAAAGAACGACTTGTGAAGGCTCTCTTGTTTAAGGTGAAGGACTAGAAGTTTGTTAGAAGTATAGGGGCTGATCCTGTTCCCACTGAAGTCTATGGGAGTTAGGCTTATGAAGAGGAAACTTCTCTCAATGCATCTTAGCTGTCTTCAGGTTCTTCAGCTGTCCAGCTCTCTTGGCTATTCCTTCCAAGTCTAGAGCTCCAGAGGAGGAAATTCTCATATCTTGTAGCATATACCCAGGCAAGTAAGGGGGTCTGATCCCACCAAATGGTAAGAGCTTGTAATAAGCATGCCCCAGTTTTGGGTATTGACTAATTTTACAGGCCTAAACTCTCTCTTTTTTGTTGTTGTTTTTTGGGTTTTTTAATATCTTGATTTCCACCTTAGGAGCAGTCAGATGAAATGTATAAACCATTATACATGGTGAGAGAAGAGCATGACTTAGTTATGATGAACAAAATACATCAGCTGACTTAGTGCTAGGCAACCCCACTGCAGTCAGTCAGGAAAATTGCTCGTTACTAGCTAAAAGCATTACAAGTCTCTTTGCTAATAAGATGGGGAGCACAATGAGGCAAGTGGAGTAAGTATTGTTTACTCAAAATCTCCATTCCCTAGTACTGTATCAAGCTACTACTCTGAGTGTATTGATAGATGTCATACACAAAATTCCATCTCCTTCAGACAGGACAAAGAAAGGGGAGTATGAACCTAGGGAGGACTGCCCTGTGTTCTGTTGCACCAAACTAAAGGTATTAGGTTCAAAGACTTCTGTTCAGTTATCTTGACATGTGACCAGCAAGGCTTCTGGTCTTGGCATTCCTATGCTAGTTTTGCTGAAAAGATGCCTCCCCGTCTTTGAAAGAATGGAAAGACAAAAGCAGCTTTGCTAATAGAATCTCTCCTAGAATGGCAGAATCATGATTCAGGAATATCAAATCATTCTGCTTTTCATCATGAGCCTTAGAATTTCTAAATTTAAACAATTTAGAATTTAGATCACAAACTACCCTCTAAACAGTGATTTGATGAAATGCAAGAACCCTGCGGAAGACTGTATTTTTCTTAAAATATGACAGAAGGAGTATTTATTTTGAGTACAAAACTGTCTCGTCTAAAAAAAATGCATGGCTTTGCAGAGTTTTTTTCAGAAGTAAAATTCATGAGGAAGCATCAAAGTCTTTAAAGCCCTGTTTAAATCTCAGGTCAACATTATACTTGTATTTTGTTGTAGCAAACATGATACAGAACACAAATAATTCTATTTCCATTATGTAAAAAATTCTCCTAGACTAAAATGAACTTACTTCATATCAAGCTGAAACTATTCACTGTATATGCAGAGATGTAGGAAAATATAAAATTCAGATTGTGGTTTAAGTAGGAAAAAATACGACTTTTAAGGATTAAGAAAACTAGAGAGAGAAACAGCAAGTCTTCAATTTCTACAGCTGATGTGTCAAAACAAACCTATAAAAGAAAGTATCAGGACAAACACTGCTTGCTTAACTACACCAATAAAGCAAAGTCTGTCCATGAATAAGTCAACAAACTGTGACTGCAGTCTACCAGAAACATAAGTATGCTGGCATGCTCTCTGATGTTAAAGATAGTGTACATAACCAAGACTTACATGGCTTGTGTTTTCCACTGATTTTGTAAGTGCTTTTGCATAGGAAAACAATATTTATAAAGTAAGTGAAAACATTAGTTACTATTTGTTCAGGTCTCTCCTAGATACCTTCCTATGGATAAAGCTTGAAAAACAAATCTTCAATACCTGAAAAAACTAAAATGTGACAAATACATTACAGTCTGAAATACATTTCAGGTACTTTTCTTGTATTGGCTACATATCCACAGAGTTCATAAAACAACTAAATGATGATTTATGCATGGTAACTTCCTTGGCAGTAATTGTTATGCCAAGGAAAACTTGTTTACTGATTGCACGCACCCATACAATAACAGAAGGATTTTTTTATTGCATGAACCAATCAATTTGAAGCACAGACGGTGAATGGTGAAAACAGAAAATATGATGTTCCTTTTCCCTTCGTTTCTAAAGGGAATATCTAAGCTATATTGTTGTCTCTGAGAAGTGGGTCTCTGCTCTGAAATGTAGAACAAATAATGTGAGATGACCTAGAAACTAAGTTTCTGTGGTTACAGAGGTAAAACCATGCTGCAAACATGAGGCAACAGAACATAAATTACTATGTTACATATATAACTTGGCTCATGTATTTGTCTTTAGAATCACAAAGATTTCAAGAAATGTCAACATACTAATTCTGAAAATCAGATCAACACCAACAAAAAAAAGAAAACTACCCTAAATCTGTAGCACTATTCCAGTAGTCAAAAGCTGTACTTAATCCACAGGAACTACAGTGGACTTGTAAAGACTGAATACCACATCAATATTCCCAGCACCAGCTCAGTACCTTCACTACTAATCTATTGTTTTATTTATCAATATTACAGCTCAAGCTTGCTCAAGTTCCACAAGGACTCCGTGGCAATCTTTAGGGTGAAGAAAAATCACAGGTTTGCCATGTGCACCTATTTTTGGCTCTTCACTCAATATTCGTATCTTTTTTTTCTTCAGTTCTGTCATAGCCGCTTTTATGTCATCAACCTTATAAAAGAAAAATACAGTTCACACGAATTAACATATTACACTGTATTATGCAGATTCTACATTTAGGAGCAATAATATAATTCCTTACTAAAATGTTATTTCTAAATTCTGATATAATTCTGAAAATAAATTAAATTATAAAAGTTTTAAAACATCTAGTCTTAAAGATAAAAATCCTACAGAAGTTTGCATTTGTTACTTGAAGATTTTATAAAATATTGTTTAAATAGATTGTGCTATATTTAAGAAATTATTAAACAAAAATCACTCATGCACAAAGCCCATTGATTTTTTTATGTTGTTACTTTATAAGGACTCCATAAATAATTTAAACTCTGCATTACTATTACTAAGAAGATCATATTGCTTTCAAACTATCAATAACTAAAGAATAATGCCTCCCTGTCTAATTCATGACAGAACACTGACTCATTAGATGCTGGTGAAAAGAGAGGGTAATGGGCAGAAGGTAAAAAGGAAAGTCCCTTTTAGATTTATATATCCTCCTCCTGAGCAGGTTAAGCTTCATAAAGTTTGCTAAGAAAAACCTTGGAATTACCAGAAACATACCCAGAATATGACCTGGTTTTCCTATTGAATTTAATTATAATAATAGCCTTTAACATAATATTTCAGTACAGTTTCCTGCAGAAATATGTAATTAACAAAAACATGTCTACTCTGTATAATGTGATCTTAAGTCTGATGTCATGTCATCAGATGAAATTTGAGTTTTCCCAAACCTTAAATGCATTCATTCTTTGAAATAATAAAATTAGCACTCAGTTTAGCAAATCCAATAGTCAATAATCAATAAAGACCTAGAATTAAAATAATAGCATTGCTATTTTTCAAGACTGAGATGTCTGGACATAACTTGGTATATAAACTTGCATGATGCCATTGTAGGGAAGAAGGAAATACCTAGCTTTAATTCAGAGGAGTTAATTCCTACTCATTTGCAGCAGTTTTGTTCATGAAAATTCTGAACTCACTACAGTTCTTCCTACACACACCTACCAGTGTGCTAAAAAAAAAAAAGAAGTGACTGTCAAGTTTTATCTAAAATAAAACAGCACACGTAATCAGTGCCATAGCCCCCTCCAGGTTGTTTCCCCAAGCAGAAAAGCCACTGCAGCTGCTGCTCCTGTCCTGCAGAGATGGCCAGAACAGGAACTGTGTCTGGGCTCAGCTGGAATGAATTACTGCATCCCCAAGGAAGCAGTGAGAGTAAACAGGGGAAGGCCTGTGGGTGCATCCATTTTAGGAGAGTATCAGGCTCGGATTTCTCTCTTATTCTACCAAGTGTCCAGTATATTTTCATTGTAGGTCTTAAATTCAATTATAGCTGGTCAGGAATAATTTAATTTCTTCTTAAAATGCTTGTTTTGTCTGAAACAAATTCCCTGTCAAAACATCTGTCTAAAATTTTCCTTTGAATAATAAGACATAAGGAAGAAATGGAAAGCATTTTGATAAACTTGACAGGTTTCCTCTCCAGTATGGGAAGAATTTTTACAATTCAGCTTTTTGCAATAAAATTGTTCACAGAAAGACATTTCTACAAAATATTTTTTAAATTTCAAATGAACAATCAATTGACACTGAAATTCTTTTATAGTTTTTCTGAAAACTATTTTTGCTCAACTTCAGAAGATGACATACCTTAGAAATTGTAAGATTTTCCATTCTGAGGAGAATGGAAAATTGGAGGAGGGAGGTTAATATCTTTTTGATTGACTATGGTAGTGACCAAATCTGTTTTCAGTCCCACTTAAACAGCAGGTCAACAATGGATTGCTTTTTTCTCCATGTAAATTAGTCTATAATCTTCCATTTGTTTTTATGTGGAGACAAACATGAGGGACTTAGGACAATCTTTTTCGTAATTTTTTTTTCTTTTTTTTTTGCATAGAGAATCTATTAGTGAGTTACAAGACTTAATTTAGGAAAATCTGCCTGCAAGTAGCACTAGCTCACCCAATTAATGGAAATTAACTGCTAGATTATGACTCCTGGCTTGCTTGACCTACTGTATACAATTATGAATTTTCTTTTTTAACACAACACTTTGTCCAACATGGTATAATTAGCATGTCCCATTCTTCTCAATTTTTATAATTAACAGTTTGACCTCTCTTGACAGCCATCTTTGGTTTATCTGCAACAAAATCATCTCTCATACAAAATGGAGATCTACATAGAACAATTTCAGCTGGTAACAAGTATTTCTTGAAACGTCTTAAAAGGGATTACATATACTTGAAACCCTTGGGAGCTTTGAGCTCTTTTTGTTGAGAAATGCCTACAACTTCTTTCTCCTGTACCTATAAGTAAGTACTGCTGGTATTACAGACGGCTGGAGGGTTTTTTCGGTCTTACTGCAAGTCACTTCTTTCTTCTACACCCCCCATTTCCTAAGTTCAGCTGAGGTCTTTCACATTTCTATAGCAGAACTGCCTAGGAATACAATTTAGAGTCAATTTAAACAGAATTAATTTTCTTATTCTTGAATATCTGCAAATAGGCAAACTTAATGTAAGAAAAACTGCAATGCCTGTGTGTATGCAAAATTTCTCAATTCTCAATGAAAACATGCAACTGCAAACACTGGTCTTTATGTTGTATTCTGAAAACGACTTTTACTCCCATCAGTAATCCCATTACTTTTTATTATTACAGTTTGCATGAAATAAAAAAATTTGCAAGGCTCAGATCTATAAAATATTAAAAAGATATATCATAGGTAGCAGCATGAAATTTTGCATCAAACATCTACACTAAAACATGAGTATACTAAATAAGATAACTACTTTACCCAGAACTTTTACATCTTGTGTACTTCCAGACCAATCTCTCTTTGATGGAAAGGAAGAACAGGATAGAAGAAACTCTGGAGACTTAACTGCTGTTTGGTAAGTATGATTGACAATCTGTTTTGACTTCTGTATACAATTATCAACTAAATATCAAACAGGAAGAAACTTCTGAAAATCTAAACTATGCCTTAGCTTAAACTTACAACTCCATCTTTTTCCAGTGTATGTCCTTTCTATGTCAGGGAGTTGGCACCTGTCAAACACTCTTCACAAGCCCTTAGGCTTGTCCACCTTCCACACTGGATACTTAACCCTCCCCTCCCCAATTTAATCTTTATAGCGTAAAAAGAGGAAAAAATGATCACATAGCTCATGAAATTGAACTATGACTTCCAAAACAGAAAAAATGCACTTTTAAGACTTCTTATGCAGTATAAATTCTCACAAATATGACAGAATATATTTGTTCTTGACACAGGTCAAACCTATGAAAAAATTATGTATACTTTTATATCTCTATCTTATTATATGATATATTGTGTTAAAGTACCTCAATGCAGATATGGTGCATTCCTCCAGTCTTGTTTTTTTGCAGAAAGCTTGCAATGGGACTTTTCTCTCCTAAAGGATGTAGAAGTTCCAGCTTTGTATTTCCCAGCTCCACAAAAACAGTGTAGACACCATGTTCGGGAAGAGCAACAGTCTCGCTCACCTGTGCTCCTAACACATCTTTATACAAGGACTGAGCTTTCTCCAAATCAGGTACTGCAATTGCTACATGATTAAGTCGGCCCAGTTTCCACAAACAGCTTGGAATGTTTTGAGAAAAGGAATTCGATGATGATAGAGTTCGTATTGTGGGAGCTGAAGTCTGCAATCTGGTAAGAAGCCCTGAAAAAAGTGAATAGCACCGATAAAATGCTTTTGAGAAAGTACCAGTATCTGCTCTTTCCCCTTTTAATGAGGCCTATATAATTCCTATGTCATAAGCACACCAGTGTGCAAAGCTGAAGGTAGACTGAGACCAAGGAAAGAATTATTCTGTAGTACTAACAGCTCAGTGAAAGTTATGTAATTATCTATGTAATTATTCAGAAGTATATAAAAAAAATCCCAAACATATATTTGGTGTAAATGCTTACATCTGCCTGTTAAAAAGAGGAATACATGGCCAAATGTAACAGTCAACTGTATTATGTACTTAAAAGTGACTTCTGAATTTTTTAGAGCTTCTTACAAAATAGAGAAAAAAATGAGGATATGCCTATACATCTAGAAATTACAACAGAAAAACAAGAAAACCGAAACAAAACCTTGGACAGAACTGATACTGCCAAGATCCAAAAGATAAAAGACTTGAGCTTTCTGCTGTCAGAACTAACTCTAGCAAGGAAAGAAATGTCATGTTGCGCCTGAGGCTTAAGGAATCCTAAAATCTCTTGAATTTGATTTCTTATCTTCTCTTTCTCCAATGATTAAGTCATTTGCTCTTCTTACTTTTCACATGCCATACAGGTCTTATACTTCATTTCACTGATCTGTTTCAAGATGCTTAGAAATATTTCAGTTCTAAGCACTGTGAACAACAACATGTCCAACTGACCAATAACAATTTAGAAGATCATCTTTAAACGGTCAGAATCATAATAGCTTTTTTTATGCAACTTCAGTGTGACTTACAAAAGAAAAATAATATGATTTGGCTCATCATAAACAAAAAGGTAATTATGAAAAAATGTTGGATGACCGTATGACACAGGTAAGGGCTAACATGTAGACAAAAGATGGAGAAGTCATGGAGAAACTCAGTGCCATGAAAAACTGCTTAGATATCTACAGAACTCTTCACAGACTGCTCTGACAAGGCAGTACTGAACTTTGCATATCTGTGTCAAATTGCTGTGTTGCTCACAAATAGTTCTTTTTTAGAGTTGCTTGTTTGGTTTTTTTAAATAACAAAAAAAAGATATAAAATGAGGATACTTACAAATGGATTACATTAGAAATTAACCTGTCAGAGTACTAGAATCTGGAGAGGTTGGGGGAGAAATTGTGATCATATCAGTTGTTTCTAGCACCAGAATTAGTACTAGATGAAGGGATATATTCATAAAAGCTGCATTTTAATTTCATGCCAGTTTGCTTTAGGCCATGTCAGAGTTCCCAGTGCCTCAAGGCCAAGCTAGAGGCATCTTAGCATTTTGGAAGTCTTTGAGGCATTCTTAGCTTTAAATTCACAAATGTGCTATTTTGCTAAGAGATTGTGCCAAGGATGCACTGAGATTCTGGATGCTTTGCAATACACTGAGGATAGCCTGGCTTGAATTTTTCAGACTCTTTGTACTCTGTAAGGTTAGTAGTAGCTGTAATTAATCAGCTCGCTTCACTGTATGAAACTGAGAACTACCATTTCACAGGAATTCAAGACTCTATAGCTATCAGTTAATTTTTCTACAAAGACAACTGATGCAGTCCTTAAATGTAAGCCTTTCAGAGCACTGTGCTGTGATGGAAGAAGTGTTTGTGTGTATTTGAGACTTAAAATTACAACGTGCAATGTACATACTTCCAAAGATGTAGTATCACAAAAGTTAAGTCTATTCAGAATCATTTGATAATACTAAATCAACATCCTCCATTCATAATTTCCAGAAATGTATCCCGTTCTGCAAGTAACTGCCCCGAAGTATTTCTTGCCAGCCTTTCATACAGTACATCCTGTCATCGCCTTCATCACAGCCAGAAGTTCTGGACAATTCTTTTTCACTTACTACCTTTAGGCTATCATACTGGCATAGTAGAGCACCTCAATATTTCCAAGTACTTTTCAACTTTTTACATGTTAAAAAAAATCCCCTAGCAATTTCTACACAGAAGAAAAATTGTTGTTTTTCAAATGTCTATGCTGAAGCTATTTTGTAGATAGACTTGCCACCTAAATGCAGCTATATCAGGGGTGAACAAAGCAATTGCCTGAGGAAGCAATACTATGCAATACTTTATAATGTGCAAAATAAGAAACATGCAGTATCTAGTTGGCATAATTAGAGGCATGGATAATTAACTTGACCAGATCACCAGAGTAAATAATGCATTAAAAAATAAAATTAAAAAAACCCACCCATCATACAGTCTTTTCTGTCCACCTAAGATTCTACCTAAGTAGCTCTTGTTTCCTACAATAATTTCTTAACACCTGATTCAATTCTTGCTGAAGCAAGAGATACTTTTCCACTTAGAGGAGGTTAGTATTCTCCAAAAGAGAAAAATCCTTTGAAAGATAAGGACCACTTACTGTCCTGGTTGCAGCTGGGACAGAGTTAGTTTTCTTCCCAGTAGCTGGCAGGGGGGGCCTGTGTTTTGGGTTTGGTTGAGGAGCATTGATGGCCCACTGATGCTTTAGTTGTTGCTGGGTTGCATGGGGGACTTTTCGGCCCCCCCATGCTCTGCCAAGTGCAGGGGAAGCTGTGTGTGGGGAAGCATAGCCAAGGTGGTTGACCCATCTGGCCAATGGGGTATTCTATACCATGTGACATCATGGTCAGTATAAAAACTGGGTCAGCAGTTGGTGAGCAGTTGCATTGTGCATCGCCTGCTTTGGATATTCTGTTGTTGTTGTTGTTATCATTGTTATTATTACTGTTCTACTTTGTTTTATTTCCATTATTAAACTGTTTTTATCTCAACCCGTGAGTTTTTCTACTTGTGCCCTTCCAATTTTCCCCCCCATCCCACTGGGAGGGGGAGGGGGTGGGTGGTGTGAGCAAGTGGCTACATGGTGTTTAGTTGCTGGCTGGGGTTAAACCACAACAACTTACTGTATCATTTGTTATGTTTCCTAGAGCCTTTTACTGTTTCATTCCTTCTTCCAAATATTAACACAGTTCAGTAGAAATACTACTAATGTAGATTTTTCAAGCAATCTTTATGATGCAAAAGGCTAGGATTTTTCCCATTCTTTTTGACATCTCCCATCTGTAATTCTTGCTGTGCTTCACACAGGGCATATGACTACATGGTTATAATTTAATTTGCATTTTGTCTATTTTCAAGTAAATTGACAGAAAGTAGAGTCACAGACTGTTACTCAGCTATTACTGAAGCAATACCAAAAAGAATAGAAAATGCTATTTCTGTTGGGTTCTGCCCAAGAAACATTTGATTTTTGTGGTGTTTCCAAGAAAGATAATAGATTGAAGTGAAATATATTCCTAGGATTTTTGTAAAGTCAAAGATACTTAAATGCCCACTCGTATGACAATATTATTTATGCATCTCTCCATTTTCTCCTCTCACTTAATGGATTGGGGTGTAGAAGTCTATATATTTTTCCTATGAGTATGTAGGGGCAGAGGACTCTTCAGCAGGTTTGTTTTTTTTTTTTTACTTTATTCTATGAAGTCTTGTGAATTTATCCCAGCTCTAGTAATATGCATATAGAGCTTTAATTTTAAACCCATAATTACCAGTATGAATTGACTGAGATTAAACAAAAAGTATGTGTTTTGCTTGCATTATATAGATTAGTAACTATATAGATTAGTTAGTTAAAATTCTAGTCGTCTTCTTTTAACCCAATAATCAAAAGATGACCCTGCAGTGAGAAAGAAAGCTTTTCAGCAAACTTCAAAATGAAACCCCATCACTTCCGTGTTTCAGGAAAGAAACACTTACATTGATGCATATATCACAAAAGTAGGCCTATTAGCTGTTGCAGCTAAATTCTCCAATCACAAAAGCATTTCTCCACTGACTTACAGAATTATTCAAGTAATTCTTAACTTTCTCCAATGTTAAAAAACATTTCTTTCTCTGCTTCTTTTGAAGCCAATGGACACTGTGACTAAAGTATCTATCCAAGTATCTGTCCTGCTTGAAAAACTTGCACATGCTGACCAAATTCACACATGCAGTTGCTTGTCCTGGTACATACAGCATTTGCCCCTACTGTTTTTTTAAGACCTCATTTTTCAAACACTGAAAACCAAATCTGAATTTTTCTAGATATTTTGTCCTTTCGAGAAGATTCAGTTGACCCTGCTCTCATATATGATTGCTGGCTTCCTAGCCTCAGTGATACTGCAGAATGTATGTCACCTTCTTCAGCTTCATTTGAAGAATATTTTTAAATTGGTCTATCTGGGTTTTATTCTATTAACAGTTGACTCATCTACTAGTATTATGCACATCAGAGTTTAAACATGTACAGTTGTACCAGTTGAGGCTTCCATTCTGTAACAGAGCAGGTTATGAATATGAAGTAGCAAGTCTAAAGCACCCCACAAAATGAGATCCTCATCCTTCAGATGTTTATTCATAGGGTCATTGCTCCTTATGTGGGGCAGTGTTCATTGACTTACATGGCCAATTAATCAAACGCAAGCCAAATCCAACTGAATTCAGTCATGTTCTCTATGGGGAAGTTACACAACTGTGGGTCGCAGTAAGAAGAACCTTGTCACTGGTTCTATTGTCAACCATTTCAGGTTGAGAAAAACTCCCAAGCACGGAGAGGATGCTGTCGCCATAGGGAGTTTGGCATACAGGAGCTGTGTATTAGCTCTCTGGACCAAATGGAGAAAGGGCATAGTCCGGCCATTCTTAAATCCCAGCAATTTCAAGGTGGTGGTAGCATCTTGGAGACTTTGCCAACCAATAAGACTTAGGTCATCCATGGTGCTGCTCTGCTCTGTGCTGGAGGTGGCTTTTGGGAATCACATGGGCTCCATAGTTGCTAGAAACTGAGTCTCACTTTGCTGCAGCTCTGGTTTCTTCCATCAAAGTGCAATTATACAAAGGTGTTTTCATTCCCAGTGTCCCACTGATCGATCACTGACAGCGCTCTTCTCCTGCAGTCTATGGCTACCGAGTAAACTAGTGTGGTTTAGGTA